TTCTCTCACTACTCTAAAGGGCCCCTTTGGCAGTAGGAAACACATAGACTATTATGGAGATTGATTTTGAAATTTAGATGCACTCTTATTGATTGTGCTTGGCTGTACATGTTCATATCCTTGAAGATGTATCATGGGGGGGTTGCAACAGATCAGTGATTTTGTCATCCATTCCATTGATGCTTCTGTTATGATTGACTGTTTAGGGAGGGATATGTTTGTAAGTATTGCTACTTTTCTAACATGTCTACCTTCCTCTCCACTAAACACAAGACCTCTAGTATGACAGAGATGAGCGTTTTGCCTACGTTTTGATCATGGAGGAGACAGACCGGGAAGCTGTTGCGACAGCGGTCCAGAGAGTCGCTGGGATGTTGCAGCGCCCTGACCAGCTGGACAAAGTAGAGCAGTATCGCAGAAGAGAAGCTCGTAAAAAGGCCTCTGTGGAGGCCAGATTGAAGGTATGGAGGCAGAGCAGTCACCTTCCTGCCTGTCTGTTCCTGGGCAGAGGCGGAAATACTGAATTTCAGACACCTTGACCAAATGATTCTTTTCTATATGCTTAGTGTTGTCATTATAATCGTTAAATTAAACTTGGTGGTAATGTGGAGACGTGAAGCTGAAATTTACTCTAGGAGATTCTTGTCACCACTATATTCTGGTCAGAATATTTACAAAGACGGTCTTGGGAATGTGGAAACAAGCCCAGCCTCTCCTCCCAGGAGTGTTTCCTCCCTTTGTACAGTGTGAGGGGTTTTGAACCCATTTTTACTCATTAGATTCTATTCTGTGGGGCTTTGCTGGGACACACAGGGATGTTTATTTCAGTGGATACAGGCATTGCAGAGGCTGCCCTCTGTTAGGAAGAGGAGAGAGGGCTGAAGGACTGGTTGAAAGTGTGAGAGGGCGGGAGAAGAAAGGACTGCTCCTCTGTGGCCTTTTATAATCTGGATCAGCTTTCAACCTACTAAGAAGACATTAAGTTTGACTAACACTTGTAATATGTAGACAAAAAGTTAAACCAGGTCCTGCTATAGTAGATGGCAGAATGGCCTATTAATTCTCAATTAATATGATACTGAGTTAATCTCTAAATTTGACAAACGTGATAACATCCAGGTACTAGCAGACTTCATCAGAGAAGGTAAGAATCCTTTACCTGTGTCACCAGATCTCCTTGCGACCCTGCTAGTCCATTTTGAGAGAGCAGTACTTGGAGTCCGTAGGGTTTTAGCCTGTGTTTCTGTCTGACCTAGAAACTTGTGACATTAACAAGCCTTCATCAGTCATGACTTAGAAGCTTTGAATGGTCTCATAATAGTTGATTCATTGTTAACTACAACTTAGACGCCCTGGGTGAGGTGGTCCTGGCTTTGACTGTGACGCCAGCTTCTCTCCAGCTCTCCCTGGCCCCTGCCCTCTCTTCTGGTGTGAAATTCACTGGGTGAGGTGGCGACTAGACAGTGACTGAATCTGTCACGTGACCCTGCTCCCGTGGGGTGGCCTGTCCTCGGGCAGAGTCCGTTCCCGGCTGTACATTAGGAACTCTTTGCAAAACTGATCAGAAGGTCTTGACCTTTTTTCCATTTGGGAACTGGGGCTGTCCCGGGAAGGAGGTGGGAGGTGTGTTTAGTCCTGTGGTGTTTCAGCAAAGCTCTCTATGTACAACATGAGACAGCAAATGAAGCAGAAGGACTCAGGTCTGTCTTGGTTCTCATTCTGTTTCTGTTTTTCCTTCTGGGTCTTGACTGTGCCTTCTGTGCACATGGCTCTTAGCTGGATTTCTGAGAGGAACGTGTTTTAAGCGGGAGGCCGTGCATGCACCCCACCGTCCTGTCTCCACAGGCCGCGATCCAGTCCCAGCTGGACGGTGTGCGCACAGGCCTGAGCCAGTTGCACAGTGCGCTCAGCGATGTGAAGGACATCCAGCAGTCACTGGCGGACGTCAGCCAGGACTGGAGACAGAGCATCAACACCATCGAGAGCCTCCGGGATGTCAAGGATGCCGTGGTGCAGCACAGCCAGCTTGCTGCCGCTGTGGAGAACCTCAAGAACATCTTCTCAGGTGCCAGCACGCTGTGGACCGCACCCTGGCCCTCGGCCACATGAGGCTCATGGGGAAGAAGTGCAGTGTTTGTCCCCGCTGGGCTCTGCCGCTCTGTCTCAGAGACAGCCAGGAAGATGCCTGCAGCTCAGAGGCCGCAGGAGAGGAGACTTGGCTGAAGTTTGGAATCCGGCTTCTCCCAGGCGCTTTCTCTGCCACAGCCTTGCTGCTGGATAGCAGCACCTGAGTGGCCTGTTCCTCCCGGCCTGCACTCTGAGGGGAGGGTGACTGCAGGGCTGTCTGGGAGGGGGAGTACCAGCACATTGTGAGCTACACGCTGTTGGAACCATCTCCCCACATGGCACATCCTGTGTAGATTACGTGGGTCTCATCCCCGGGCGGGCCAGCTGTCCCCCGGATCTCTGTCCAGGCTATTGCTGTCGGCATCTGCAGACTCCTCACGCGCAGTGCGTGTTATGGGGCCCCTGGCTGCTGCATAGGACACCCTGGGTGGATGGCGACTCACCCTCTCCCTGGCCGCATCTGTGTCCTCAGACACCTCTGCGCCGGCCAGCTTTGGCCTTGCTCTCCCAGTCGCCAAGCTTCTGGTGTCACTGCCTCTCTAGAAAATCCTACTGGCAGGATGTAGCCCTCACAGTGTAGCTGCTGAAGCCATACCTTCCCATCCCCTCCTGTGGACTTTAAGCCTGCTTCATGTCCCCTGCTGGGGCCCTTGTCCTGCACAGCCATGTGCAAGCAGGAACGCCAGTGACCAGGTTCTTGTGCTGCTTCTCCCATGGGAGTCCCAGGTTCTCGGGGCTGGCTGTGGGGTGGCTGCTTCCTGTGTGCCTTCCTGGGTGATTTTCCTCAGATGCCCACAGAGCCAGCTAGCTCATCGCCTTTTATACTTCCCTGTTGGTGTGTAGCCTCCAACCTAGTAAAGTTGGAGACCAGAGTGGCCATGCTGAGAGCAGGCCGGTGCTGTGTCCATGTTTTTACTGAAGCCCTGGCAGGCGTGGCTCTCTCTGACGTCTGCGTGTGTCCTTGGCCCCCCAGTGCCGGAGATCGTCCGAGAGACGGAGGACCTGACGGAGCAGGGGGAGCTGCTGCAGGCGCACCGGAAGCTGATGGATCTGGAGTGCTCCCGAGACGGCCTGATGTACGAGCAGTACCGCATGGACAGCCGGAACACTCACGACATGACGCTCATCCAGGGCTACTTCGGCAGCATGCAGCGCCTGTCGGACGAGCTGGCCAAGCAGCTGTGGATGGTGCTGCAGCGGTCCCTGGTCACCGTCCGGCGCGACCCCACCCTCCTGGTCTCTGTTGTCCGCATCATTGAACGTGAGGAGAAGATTGACAGACGCATGCTGGACCGCAGCAAGCAGACCGGCTTCATCCCACCCGGGAGGCCTAAAAAGTGGAAGGAGAAGATGTTTGCTATCTTGGACAGAACTGTGAGCACCCGGATCGAGGGCACACAGGCTGACACACGCGAGTCTGACAAGATGTGGCTGGTCCGGCACCTGGAGATCATTCGCAAGTATGTCTTGGATGACCTCATTGTCGCAAAAAACCTGATGGTGCAGTGTTTCCCTCCCCATTATGACATCTTCCGAAACCTCCTGAACATGTACCACCAGGCCCTCAGCACACGGATGCAGGACCTGGCATCAGAGGACCTGGAAGCAAATGAGATTGTGAGCCTATTGACTTGGGTCCTGAATACCTACACAAGGTAGGAGCCTGGCATCTCTAGTCTCCTGGAGACATCTGATGGTGGGGACAGTCTGAGTCTGTAAGAATCCTGTTCTTGGCAGAGCCAGGCACTAGGGTAGCTCTCTGATCTGTGGGGACTGCTCCCATGGTCACAGTGGTTATCTGAGAGTGGCCAAGCTCTGGGAGGGTCTGCCCTGAAACCCAGTGTGTATGTTGGTGGCCCTTCTGTCTGTGATACCTTTCCTGTGGTCACAGTGGGTTCTGAGTGTGGCCAGGCTCTTGTGCAGTACTTCACAGAGTATGTGTGTATGTGGCGCATTCGTATGTGAGAATGGCCCTGTGGACACACTGGAGGCTGAGAGTAACCAGTCTCTCTCATGGGGTCTATCCCAGTGTACATGTATGTGGCTTGTTTATATGTGGAATGGCCCTGTGGTCCTAGCAGAGACCGAGAGTGACCGAGCTCTCGTGGTGTCAGTTCTGATGGCCAGTGTGCGTGGTCTGTCTGGACTCTCTTCCATTGTCACTGCAAGTGTCTGGGCACAGCTCTGATGGGGTTGACTCCAGTGCCTGATGTGAGTTCAGTGCCGTGGTGTCAGCACAGAGCAGGCCCAGTCCCTTCTCGTGACAGATGGGCTTCTCTCTGTACATCCTCCGGGGAGCCAGGACACCCTCTACAGGCCCAGACCTTGGGCGCGTGCCCAGGACTCGGGAGAGATCGCCAGCTCTCCTCCCGGGCTCCCAAAGCACCGTGTCGCAGGGATGCTGCCTTCCAGGGGACCCTGCTTCATCCTGTGTCTTTAGCGTGAGGCCCTGCAGAGGAGCAAGGTCCATGCTGTCACCAGTAGTTTGAGGTTTGAAGGATGTAGTGGTGGTCTAGAACTCTTCATGGTTTAAGGAGAGAAAACACTGGTGTCCTTTTATTTATCTAGTTGTGAACATGGAATAATTTAAGGAGCTATGTTGTGAACCCAGAGAGATGAGGTTTGAGTCCACCAGCAGCTCCATGGGAGGGAGATGGGCAGTCTCTCCCTGTCATTTACTGCCTTTGAAAACCGCTGGACGGTCAGTTATGGGTGAATTCTAACTCAGTGAGACCAAACAACAATCGTTTAGCGATGAGAGTTGTCTTTATGTGTGCATTTCTACTTTCTGACTTTTTAAGAAAAATGTCTGTTTTAAGAGGTAATTTGGACGTTTTAATACAGAAAAATAGAAAGGAGGACACCGACACTCTCCCACAGTGCAGGTTTGCTGGATGATGCTGATGCTTGTGGAGCGTGGAGCTCATCGTCTCCTTAGCCACTTGGTCCACACATACCTGTGGGCTCACAGCCTTCCCTGGAAGTGGACAGCGGGTCAGCAACAGAGGGTGAATGGAACCCAGCCAGGCCAGCCCACTGCCCTCCCAGCCCACCATAGGTGACAGACCAGCACAGGGTGGGAATGATAGTGTGCTCCAGACCCCAGGGAGGGTAACACTCCTCCCCACTAGGGACAACCTGCCTTGGGTGTCTGGCACGTGCAGTTTGAAGCTGATGTGTTCTCCTCACGTAGAAAGCTCTTTGGAGCCGTGCACTCTATTGTGCTGGTTTTTGATTAGCGAGCTGACCCGCCCAGTCTCCATATCCCACCGTCCACAGACACCCTTGGATGGGAACACCCACCTGTGGAGGCTTCTAGTCAGATAAGTCGTCATCTGATACCTGCAGGTGTTTGTAAGTACTTTTTAATCAGGAAATCTAGGATTTCTTTCCAGCCCCATACCAGCTGTTGGTATTAGTGTTGTTTTCTTGAGAACAGTTAAGAGAATGTTGTCCATCGTGAGTGATGCCAAGTTATTGAACCTTAGACCAAGAGCCCAGCCAAAACACATGTGTCAGCGCCTTTTTATCCACACTTTTTATCAAGCTGAGTTTACATTCCTGGCTGAAACACAATAGATTCAGTGGATGTGCTTTCCCTGGTTCTCTCTGGATGAGGAAGGCACGTTTCCTAGTTCTCTCTGTGGGGTCTGCCCTATGGATGAGGGAGGCAGTTTTCATGGTGTCTGGTTTGTCAAGTGAAGGATTCAGCTTTGCTCATTTTTTCCATGTTTTGCCCACTCTGGCTCCTCCCTCCACAGAGATGAAGATCACACATCAGTAGCTGTTCTCTTTCGTTGGCACTCCCCTGGATTTTCAGTCTCTGTCAGAGAGAGAGAGAGAGTGTGTGTGTGTGGTGTACGTGCGCGCACACAGATATATATTGTTCTGCCTGTAGTGTCCATGTCCATTGTGTTTTACACCATTCCTCGTTCATATTTTGTCCCACACAATCATTCTCACACATCATGTTTTATAAATTAGTCAGATGGGACCTTACCCATCTTCTGACCAAATCCTTCCCCTAGCCTTCCTGACTTCTGTCTCGTTTTTAAATATTCAAGTACTTCCTGTTTCCTGAGCACTGGACAACAGAGTGATCTTGCTCTCAGGGGGTGACCCCTTGTGTCCAGCTGGCCAGTCAGTGAGAGAGGACCTAGTGGGAAAGAAACTGGTCTGGGAACAGCTGTAGGTAGGAAGCGAGGTGGAGCTTACCTGTCATCTCCTGGTGGTATCGCAGGAATCATCATCTCCGGGGCCTTTGGGTGACTAATGGTGTGTTCAGTAAAACAGTAGCACTTCCGTAGGAACCTGTCAGGGTTCTCCTATGACTTCCTCCCTCACCCCTGGTTTTTGTGCAGTGCGGAGATGATGGGAAACACGGAGCTGGCCCCGGAAGTGGACACCGATGCCCTGGGGCCCCTGCTGTCCCAGCACGTTATCTCCGAGTTGCTCGGCACGTACATGTCCACTCTCACTGTGAGTATAGCTGGTTCGTGCCTGTGTGAACCCAGGAGCTCTACTCTAGGACAGGGTTTCCTGGTGCAGGTGGTGGAGGAGGGTGTGTAAGTCAGTCTTTACCCTGTCTTCCTGGAGGGTGTTGGAGCTGTTTCTGGAACCTCTGCCAGTTAGGGGAGGAGAGCACCCTCAGAGTCTGGAAAGTGTCTGTCGTAGAGGTGGACCTTGTCTCCTAGCTGGAGGAGGCCCCTTGGGCTTACAGGGTCTCCTTGGATCAGAGGAGACCCTGGCAATGTAAAACTCTAGGTTGGGAATAGCCCCCGGCCCAGTGTGAGGGGAACGAGATTGCTCTCTTGGTAAGTGGGGTGGCCTGGGTGGAGGCTGGGCTCCTGCTCTCGTGGGTCCCACCTAGTCTCCCATCTCTGATAGGGGCCATGCAGGGGTCTGAGTGATCCACAACCTCCAGGCTCCCCACATGGAAAGACAGGGCCTGCCCCCTGGGAAAAGGTGTGAGTCACACTACATGACTGACCCATGGAAACTGTCCCAAGAAAGGCTAGGAAGGCTTTCGTGCTGCGGTCAGGCTATGAGGGGGCAAGGCTCCCTGCATGACTCCTCACTGGGTGACATGGCCAGCCACCGCCTTGGCCCAGCACAGCTCCAGAGGCTTTCTTCGCCCCTAACTCAGGCACACCAGGATTTTCCAGTTGAGCCTTGTCTTTTTTCAGGGCTGGAGTTCTGAACAGCTTTGCTAGTGTGCTGCACGGGGGAATAAGGACTCATCTGCCCATGGCAGAGGCTCTGGAGAGACCAGAAGTGCCTCTCTGGGTGAACAACAGCTCGCAGCAGCCATGTGCTGTCTGGGAGACAGTCCTTGCTTCAAACACCATTTCACCTTTCCTACTCTCCTATTGCTAAACTCTCCTTCCATAGTCAAACATCATTGCGTGGCTGCGGAAAGCACTGGAGACAGACCGGAAGGACTGGATCAAGGAGACCGAACCTGAGGCTGACCAGGATGGCTACTACCAGACCACACTTCCTGCCATCGTCTTCCAGGTATGACACTGGGGACATCCAGCTCAGGGCCCTTGGCTGTGGTACGGTTTTGGGGATTTACAGACCAGCATATTTCCTAGGTCTTCATTTGTGGAGCACTATAGAGACATTGAAGTTCAGTGTCCTCTGAGCTTTTGTTTCTCTCTCTGGAGATGAAGCTGAGGCTCACTCTTGCCAGATAATTTTGCCTGAGGTCACTAATGACTACTTTCTCTCCTGTTTATGCATTTGAACTACAGCCTAGTTGTGTGTGATTTTACATATGACTTTGAACTTTGAGTTGGTCTGCCAGGTTGTTCCCTAACGTTGGCTGTGGGTGTCTTCAGTCACCACCAATTGGGTGTAACCCAGGAGTGTCAGGGGATTGGTATAATCTTGGAGGACGAGAGGATTGGGTGTAATCTAGTAGCTTTACGGGATTGGGTAAAATCTGGACGCTCAAGAAAATTGAGTCTAGACTGACAGCTGTTCCACCAGCATCCAGCATCCGTTTCCTTCCCCCTTCCCTAGCCTGGCCTTCCTCCCCCAGCCAACCCTTGATAGGATAGCCCAGGACTCCAGTCACTCTGTCTTGCCTCATACTTCACACTGCTGCCACTCTTCCACATTGCTGCGAGTCTCTGATTTTACGAGGCTCTAAGTCTCCGTTCCAGGTACCACCTTTAGGGAAGGATTTCTCTCTGAGGCAGTTCTGGAGAAAGGCCCTTGTCTCTGAGCTGCTGCAGTGTCCTCTTGCGTCTTAGTGTTTCTGCTCTTGATTTGCAGCACCCTGCTGTTGAAGTAGGGTAATTTCCCTGGTGAGGACAACATCTCTTCTGTATCTGGTAGGCTGGTGGTGTTTCCTTGGCCTGAAGTTCTGTAACCATTTTGGGTTGAGGGTCTTTGCTGCTTGAATCTCCTTGACTGTGGCAATCCCCGTAGAGCTTTGGAGGGAGGGGAATCTACCTGGCACGAGAAAGCTAGGCCAGGTGCTGATTGTAGAACAAACCGTCAACTACTCTTATGCAAGTTCAAACTAAGGCTAAAGAAAATTAAATTTTCCAGGACCAAAATTTGACCTTGAGTCTATCCCACCTGAGTTTAAAAATCACCTTTGAAACAGGTTTGAGGCCTTGAGTGCTAATGAAAGAAAACGAGATGAGCTTTGGAAGGGATTACAAGAGTATCATTCATGGAGAAAGCAAGAGGTCATTGCAAAGAAGAGGAGGAAGAAAAGACCAAGATGGTTGTCAGTCTCTAGACTCTAAAATGTTGCACGGGAGCACTGAGACGTCAAAGCACGGGGAGGGAATCAGGAAGTTAAGGAGCTGAGCAGAAGATTTCAAAGGGCAGCTCGGAAGACAAGGAGGAGTATTATAATGAAATGTGCAGAGAGCTGGAGTCAGAAAAACAAAAGGGCCGAGTTCGCTCAGCATTTCTTAAGCTGAAAGAAGAACAAGTTCAAGCCTTGAGTTGCAATACTTAAGGATGCTGTGGGCAGAATGTTGAACGATTCAGGAAACATTAAAAAGATGGAAGGAGTACACCAGAGTCGCTGTACCAAAAAGAATTGGCTGGCACAGAGGAATGTTATGAAACAACATATGAGCAAGAGGCAGTTGTGATAAAGGAGGAAGTTTAAGCTGATCTGAAAGAACAAGATCCCAGGAATTGGTGGAATACCACTTGACATATTTCGACAGACAGTTGCTGTCCTGGACATGCTCACCGCGTTGTGCCAAGAAATCTGCAGGACAACTACCTGGACAACTGACAGATCGGACAGTTGGCATATTTCTGTCCCAAACATGAGTGACCTGACAGTGTGGAAATTATCCAACCGTATCCCTCATATCACACACTAGCAAAATTCCCCCTGAAGATTATCTAAAAGCAACTGGTACAGTACATTGACAGCTAGCTACCAGAAATGCAGGCCGAGGTTAGAAGAGGCTGTTGCATCAGAGATGTTATCATCAATAGCAGATGGATCTTGACTAAAAGCAAAGATTACTAGAGGAATGTCTATATGTGTTTCATAGCCTATGCAAAGACATTCGACTGTATGGATCACAACAAATTGTGGCTAACCTTGAATGGGTATGCTAGAACACTTGATTTATCCTCATGCAAAACTTATGCTTGGACCAGAAAGCAGTCCTCGGAACAGAGCAAGGAAACACTGCATGGTTCAAAATCGGGCAAGGAGTGCATCGGGGATGCATCCTGTCTCCATACTTTTCAGTCTGTGTGTGGAACAGATCATTCAGGAAGCTGGACTTTATGAGGAGGAATGTGGCTTCAGGATTGGGGGAAGACTCATCAACAATCTACATTACACAGATGACATAACCTTATTTGCAGAAACTGTGGAGGACCTGAAACATTTGCTGCAGAATTTCAAGTCCTGCAGTCTTCAATATGGATTGAAACTCAACATCAAAAAGACAAACATTCTCACCACTGAGGAAATTTGCAGCACCATGATAGATGGAGAATAGATTGAGATAGTTAACAATCAGCTTGCTCGGCTCCTCAGTGAACCCTCTTGGCGGCAGCAGTCCAATGCTCTGGGGAAGGCTGCTGTCAGGGACTTCTAAGAGGTGCTGAAGAGCTACGGTGTCATTCTGGAGACTAAGGTGTGTTTGATTCAGGCCATAGTCTTCACTGTTACTGGCTGTGCATCAGCTGGACAATGACCAAGGATTACAGAAGAAGAATTGATGCCTTTGAGTTGTGGTGCTTGAGAAGAGTATAGAACAGTCATGGATTGCTAAGAGAACAAACAGGTGTGTCCTGGAGAGGGTGAAGAGTGGCTACACCTTGGAAGCAAGGATTTTGACGCTGTCTCACATACTTTGGACATGTTGCCAGGAGGGAGCAGTCCTTGGAGAAGGACATCATGCTTCGAATGGTGGAGGGAAAGCTCATCAAAGACCCTGCATGAGATGGATTGATGAGATGGATTGACACAGTACCTGGTACAATGAGATAGGTGTGTGAGAGTCAGTGACACTGGCTCAGGATAGTTCAGAATTCAGAGCTGTTGTATATAGGGTTGCTATGAATCACAGGTGACTTAAAGGCACATAACAGTACTGTGAGGTGAATTTCCTAAATCTTCATTTTAGTGCTTCATTCATCTTCGTGTTTCATTTACTTCTACCAGCCACCTGCTTTTGAGCATAAGATACTGACATCTTTTATCCTACTATTTTTCTTCCTGTCACCTGATATTTTCTTCTTTAAATAGAGACTGCTGAATAATGTTAAATATATACTTTAGGGTGTGTTTGTGGCTAGCCAGGCAGAAGCAAGCTTCTCTCATAATACTATTTACAATGAGCCATTTGGAAGTTTAACAGCACAGCAAGTGATAAATGTTGGAGAATATGTGGAGAGATAGGAACTCTTATACACTATTGGTGGGATTGTAAAACAGTACAGCCCCTCTGGAAGGCAGTTTGGGGTCTCTTCAGAAAGCTGAACATTCAAAACAGTTATGAGATAACATCTCACCCCAGTCAGAATTGCAAAATTTAACAGAACAGCAAGCCACAAATGCTGGCGAGGTTGTGGAGAA